ACATATAGAACACAATTAAAGCCCCCCGTACCATCTGCACCGGATGTCTCGGTGTAGGGGACCGTCTACCTCCTTGCTCTCTACTCCTTGATACCCAGGGTCCGGACCTGATAAGCCCCCCCTAAGATGCTCCTTTTCATGTCATCTTAGGTCCTATTCACTATAAACTGGACAGCACTACCCTCTTTATACGCCTATAATGATCTTTGACGCTTGTTTCGTTGATTGGTTTTACAGTTTGCAGGGCGCTGCACAATGTTATGACTGCACACTTTCAATTTGTGTTCCTTGTTGCTGGGCTTGCATGCCCTATTTCTGTTCTCTTATTGATTGTAACCTTTATGTGAAAACAAAAATTATATAAACCAAATAAAACCTTTGTGAAAGAACACAAGAAAAGCATCATAAATCCCATTGCAACACCTTAAATTGGAGCAGAGGGTAGTAACACTTCTAGAAGTATTATAGAGATGGTGGCCAGGATCTGCACAGCCTGTTAATGAGCCTCGTTATCAATGGATAAATGTCATCCACAGTACTCAGCGGGAAAACCAGAGACTTTTATTGCAGCGCTTTTGTAAATCGTCGTGAACAGTTCATGAAAAGTTTCAAGCAAATACACATCCTCGGCTGTTTTTTTCTTTTTACCTACAAAGACCGATTTCTTTCAGGTCCCGGTCTCACAATGGCACCGGTGGGGCTCTTCATATACTTTCAATCAGGTATTTATGATCCGATGTTAAAGTTCCGTCTATAGATCACCCGGTAAGTCATAAATGTAATCCCACAACACATCCTTTCTTCCAGCTCACACTCCAATGCATAAGAGACGGAAAAAATTGCTGCCGCCCCCCATGCCGTGCATTAAAGGTGAGCCCTGCGTAGCACAATGTACTGTGGGGGGGGGCGGGGGGGAAACTGCATTTATTATATGTAACCAAGGCCGGGCCAAGGGGTAGGCAGAGGAGGCGGCCACTTTGGGCGTTTCTGCAAGAGGGGCACAGAAAGGGCCGGTGTTCTATCAAAGTTTGTGACTGCGTTAGAATGTGTGACCGGTCACGTGGTCACACATTTTAACATAATCCTGCCCAGTTTTTCGGCGGTGGAATGTGTGACCGGAAAAAAGGAGAAGAATTCCAACGCTTTGTCAGCTGTTCCCGGGGCAGATCGGCATCGCAGATGGTATGTGCAGGAGAACCGATCTTCCCCGGAACAGCTGATCGGTCCTGAAATGTCACTTCTATCCGACTTTGTGACTGCGATCCCACATTCCACAAAGTCGAATAGAAGTGACATTTCAGGACCGATCAGCTGTTCCGGGGAAGATCGGTTCTCCTGCACATACCATCTGCGATGCCGATCTGCCCCGGGAACAGCTGACAAAGCATTGGAATTCTTCTCCTTTTGCCGGCCACACATTCCACCGCCGAAAAACTGGGCGGGATTACGTTAAAATGTGTGACCACGTGACCTGTCACACATTCCACCCCAGTCGCAATCTTTGATAGAACACCGGATCTGCAACTACATTGCTGACATTGTTCACAGTAAATGGGAGGGGGGGGAGGGGCACATTTTGGGCTTCTTACTTGTGGCTCCTTGTCCTGACACCGGGCCGCAGTTCTGTCTCTGATGAGCTCCCGTTGGGGGATTTCGGCGTCTCATGTTGTCTGCTTGAGGTCGGAGATGGTTTTCGGTGACTTTGTTCTCCGCCATTTTATCCTGAAGTCGGGTTTATGGATCTTTTTGTTATTTTGTCTTCGGTTTGGATGAGTCGATGACGTGTCATTCGGAGGGGGGGACCCCAATGTGCTTTCTGTGATTTCCTCATTGCAGAGGACGTTTCTGATGAAGAAGAACGCGAGGACGCGGAACGGGACAAAACCCCAACCTGCAAATCTGAATATTTCTTAGGTGAGACAATGTAGATCTTCTGAAGAGATACATTGTATCTTCAGGATCATACTTCCCCTCTGGATGCCTGTACATTGCAGTCAGTGACCACCTTAGACCGCTGAGATAAATTCAGTTGCAGGATAAAAATGAACTCCGGGCAGATATAAAAGACAAACATTAATGCAGCTCTGAATTCATGAATACATTTATTTTTTTAAATACAGACATTATTATTATTATTATAATACAGGATTTATATAGCGCCAACAGTTTGCACAGCGCTTTAAGTATTGTAAGTACCCGAATTTAACCTGGTATTAGCTTCTTGCTGTTCCTGTACAGCAGAGCTTAAAAACAGAGAACAGCACAAGGAGCCAATCAGGTTTGCTGCAGTGCAAGGAGCATGCTGATAGGAGGAGACAGCGACAGAGAGAGGACGTTGTTCTCCCTAAGGCCCCATTCACACGCAGCGACATACCTTTGCAGCGGCCGGGATAGCGCGACTTTCGGGGCGACGATCCAGCGACGGTAGCGCGACCTTCATCCGTCGGGCTCCATAGAAAAAAGCAAAATCCGGCGAAAAAAGGGTCCTGTAGAAGCGACTTGCGACCGCGACGAGCGACGCGCGACATGGAGCTAAGACAGCTCCATTGAATATCATTAGCCGGCGACTTCTCGCGATATCGCGCGGCAAAAATGCGCAATATCGCGGCGAAAATCGCGCGATAAGTCGCTACATGTGAATGGGGCCTTACTGTTCAGTCACAGGCTGGTCAAGGGACAAGACCTGTAAGTGTCGCTTAACTGCAGCAGAAAAAGATTGGGTCTCCTCCCCTTCCAGACAGGGCTGTGCCGTGTGGCAGAGCTGTGAAAATATCAAGATTGAATGGACAGAAATACACATCCTCTGGCAGGTAAAGCAGCTCCCGTAGATGCATTTTACCCGGGAGTTTAGCAGTTTTAGCTTTAGAAACACTATAGATCCGCTTTACATTGTCTCAGTTGGCTATCAGCAGACAGGACGTGTAACCCAGAACAGGAGCCTAAAAATTCCTCATCGGCCCGGTACCCCGAATCTGTCCTGTCACTGGCTGCCAAGGGAACGCGGCGTCATTATGATGTCATATTCCTGACATAAACCTCCTTTATATGTCTCGTATCTTCTGCTGATACACTGCGAGCTCCTCTGCTCCGCTGTCAGCCACGCTGGGCTCAGATCTGTGTGTGTAAAGTGCTGCACGGAATGACTTCCCCCGGAAACAATCTTCTGATGTCACTTCTGATGTTTATATAGAAGTATTTGTTCTTCATTGTTATCGTCCTTCTTCTCGGCTCTCTGGGACTGTATCTCACTCTGATATTCTCTCGTCTTCCCCCCCCCCCCGGGCAGGAAGGAGCCCGGGG